TTGTAAAATATGGATTTCAGTGCTTGGACTGTGGGCTAAGCCATTGTATGAATGTGTTAAGGGAACAGATCAGGACCCTTTTCACTGGTCCACAGAAGCCGACTAAGCATTTAAAACTTTAAGAAGAAAACTGATGGAAGCCCCAACCCTGGGTCTGCCAGACCTCTCCAGGCCATTTCAACTGTATGTACATGAACGAAAAGGGGTGGCCTTGGGAGTGCTTACTCAGTTATTAGGCACCTGGAGACGTCCTGTGGCCTACTTTTCCAAACAACTCGATCAAGTAGCCACGGGCTGGCCGGCATGTTTACGGGCGGTTGCAGCAACAGCCTTAGTACTTGAAGAAGCTGGAAGCTGACGTTGAGGGGGATCATGCAAGTGTATACTCCCCATATGGTCCAAACCCTGATGGACGCTAAGGGTGGTCTTTGGCTCACCCAGGCTCGGGTAGCTCGGTATCAGGCTAAGCTTTTAGAGAACCCCGAAGTGACCTTGCTAACCTGTCCCTCCCTTAACCCGGCCACTCTTTTACCGGAAACAGAGCAGCAGGAACATGACTGCTTGGAGATAATAGATGCCCAATGCTCCAGCCGTCCGGACTTAAAGGATCAACCGCTCCCTAATGCGGATTGTGAGTGGTACACTGATGGTAGTAGTGTTGTGGTAGACAGGCAAGGGAGGACGGGCTACGCTGTCTTGACCCTCCACGATACCGTGGAAGCCAAGGGTTTGCCTGCTGGGACATCTGCCCAGCTTGCTGAACTGGTAGCTCTGACCCGTGCGCTCGAACTGTCAGAGGGAAAACAGGTCAACATCTTTACCAACTCCAGATATGCTTTTGGAGTACTACATGCTCATGCTGGTCTGTGGAAACAGAGGGGCATGCTGACAGTCCAAGGCTGCCCGGTCAAGCATGGGGCCCACATTCTTCGGCTCCTGGAAGCAGTGCAACTCCCCTCGGCAGTGGCGGTGGTACACTGCAAGGCTCATCAGAGGGACGACCAAGACATGGCAAAGGGAAATGCCCGGACAGACAGGGAAGCCAAGCGTGCTGCCACTCTGCAAGCACTGGAAGCAGAGAACGCCTATATGCAGGCCCTCATCCCATCCATGGGGAAGCTCCCGACCCGTCAGTACTCACCTGAAGAAAGAAACCTAGCCGCCAAGCTCGGGCTCCGGGAAAAGGAGGGATGGCTCCACTCCACAGAAGGAAAGATCCTCCTATCGAAGGACCTAATCTGACCAGTGCTGCAGAGACTACATCAAACCACTCACGCCGGCAAAGAGGCTCTAACCCAGCTTATGAATAAATACTTCTTAACCTCTGGACTTCGGCCCCTAGCATCTCAGATACAGGCCAACTGTCTGGTCTGTCAAAAGAACAACCCTCGACCAGGATTTTCAGTACCACCAGCTACTCTGGAACCCACCCCAGGCCCGGGATCGGTTTGGCAGATAGATTTCACTGAGCTCCCACGGACTCAAGGGTTCAAATACCTCCTCGTCCTGGTGGATCGATTTAGCGGATGGCCTGAAGCCTTCCCGTGCCGTAACTGTACAGCCAAGACTGTGGCTCTCAAGTTTGTCAAGGAACTCATCCCCCGCTTCGGGCTGCCCCAGTGGATGGAATCTGACAACGGAACCCACTTTACATCCAAGATTGTCCACCACATAGCAGCCGCCCTAAAAATCCCATGGAAGCTCCACAGGCCATGGCGACCGCAGGCCAGTGGAGCGGTGGAATGCACAAATCAGACCCTTAAGTATCACCTCTCGAAAATCTGTCAAGAAGCCTCCCTACGGTGGCCTGATGCTTTGCCCATTGTTTTGCTCCGCATCCGCGCTCTCCCAAAGGGTAGATTAGGGAATAGCCCCTTTGAAATTATGTTTGGAAGGGCATGGCTTATGAATGGGACACCGGCTCTGGCAGGGGAGTGGAAACTAGGATGCGGCTTTTTATCTCAGTATATGTGTTCTCTGTCTGCTGCTCTCTCTTCTCTTCACAGGTACACCAAAGACTCACAGCCTCTTCCGCTGGATGCCCCTGTCCACTGCTTGCAGCCGGGAGACTCCGAGCTCGTTCGTACCTGGAAGGACGAGCCTCTCCGGGAGAAGTGGAAGGGACCCCACACCGTCCTGCTGGTTTCCCACACGGCAGCAAAGGTTGAGGGACACAAAAACTGGATTCATCACTCGCATCTGAAAGCAGTGCCCACATCGCCACCAGCAGAACAGTGGACCGCCCAACCCACCAGAGCATCATCCACTGACGCTCTGGGACTTAAGTTGTTGTTTAAAAAGTGCTGAGGGGTTAGGGGTTCTGTTGGAAACATAGCTGCCCTGTCCAGTAGACTCACCATGGGTTCTAATGCAGAGTTTGCCCTACTAATACTTTTGGCGACAGTTGCCAGTCTCTTGTTGTCTCCCGTGTCGCCCTCCATGCATGCAGGATGGGGAAGGGCCTCTGCAAACTTGGCTACTAACACATATGAAGCCCTAAAGGTTGCCTTCGCCCGCGAATTTAATCTCTCCAACTGCTGGGTGTGTGTGCACTTAATCAGCTTTTGTCCTCAGAATATGCGAAAACTCAGACAAAAGTTTGTTGAGTATTCGCAAAGGAGGGAGCTGTTGGGGTCACTCGGCATGATCCTAGGTAACTCGGGGAAGTGGAAGATCACAAGGATCGATGAAGCCCCCCCGCTCTAGGCCCAAGCACCCTAAAAGCCCTCTCCCCCCCCCCCTTCCGGCGCCCCCGCTCTAAGCCCAAGCACCCTAAAAGCACCTTCCTTCCGCCCCTTCTCCCCCCCCCAGGCATAACTTTTCTCTGGCTCGCTAATAGCTGAGAACAGCAAGACAGACCTTGAGGTTGCTTAGTTACTATCAGTGGTACAGAAGAAGAATTCAGATGTGTCTCTGTAGAGGGGAGGAGGAGGAGGATAAAGCTGGCAACATGTCCCAGTGTGGGAACCTTGCTACAGTTCACTATTTTCCTGCAAGTAAACAACCTGGGTATATAAGGAGGAAAAACTGCTTACGTTGGTGTGCTTGATCTGAGATGTCTAGTCTCCTGGCACCTATTTGAGCGTTCAAATAAACTTTTTTGCTTCTCCACACCGGTGTGTTTATTGGAGCGCACACACCGGGCAACGAACCCCGCTGTTGCCCCCCTCAGGCACTGTGTGCCGGCAACAGAGGTATGGAACAGCTTCACTATGAGGAGAGATTAAAAAGGCAGGAACATTTCAGCTTGGAAAATATATAAGGAGGGATACAATAAAGGTCTTTAAAATCATCAAACGTGTGGAAAAAGTGCATAACGAAGCGTGATTTACCCCTTATAATCAGGGCCGTCCTTAGCCATAGGCAGAATAGGCAGTTGCCTGCGGCACCAGTATTTCTGGGGCACCAATACTGTAAGTTTATGTTTGTGTTGCTAAGAGCAAGTCAGGCATATGGGCACCAGTTTAATAATCCCACTTCGGGCACCATAAATCCTAAGGACGGCCCTGTGGGCACTCCAGTTGATGCTGGGTAGTCCTGCTTTCACAAGAAGTAAGGGACGTTGAAGGGAGAGTGTTCTTCCTTAGACTTTCTGGTGTGTACAGCACCAAAAGCCAAGTTAAGGTACTTCAACTTCTCCTATGCAATTAATGTAGCTGAAGTTGCGTATCTTAATTCGACTTTAACCTGTAGTGTAGACAAACCATTAGAGAGTGTAACGCTGATATATAATCAATTCCTTATTTAAACTGCTGAATTGGGAACACTGCAGAATCTTTAGTTGGGCACAGAAGCTTTTACCATTAGATATCCCAGTGAATTGATTCTCTGGCAACTGGCAAATCCATACAGAAAACTGTCCAGGCTGATCAAGTGTTGGTAAATCTAATGCCAGGGTGCCCTCTAGGGGCCAGGCCAGGCTTCAGCACTCATTAAAGCATCTGCTTTATGGTGTCTGGGAATTTCAGCACTCTAAGGCTACGTCTAAACTACACTACACCCCTCTGTTGGCAGATGGATGTAAATTAGACACATTGAAAGTGCAAATGCTGTAAAAGCTACCGCCTGTACACGTGGAGGAGGCGGCTGCACAGCAGAGGCCCCCTGGGACAGGGGCGGTCCTGCGGGCTGGGGGAAGAGGGGACAGCGGGAGCTGTCTACGGACTGTGCAGGGGGCAGGGGAGCAGAATTTTTTCTGTTTTCTCCGCGGCACACCTCCAACTGCCTCCTGGCACACTGGTGGGCCGCGGAACACATTTTAAAAAACGCTGTCATATATGATTTAATGGGGTTTCCTGGTGGGGCAGGAATTCTTGTGTGCAGACCCATTTGCAAGTTTGAGGTCGTAATACTGGAAACATTTTTTTGGCTTCCATAGCTGTAAGTCACAAAAATAAAGTGAAATTTTGATATGTAATTTTTTTTTAAAGAGGGAATTAAAAGAAAGTAGCTTTAAAACTTTTAATTTAAGCTTGATGAATTCACTGATTATAAGCAAAGATTTAAGAGTACATTATCTGATAAATGCAAAGTTTTGCATTTGTAAAATACAGGATTTTATAGCCCTTCTTAGTACTTGCCAAATGTCAGCTATCATGACAGTTGTGGGTGAAAAGGCATGAAGGTGTTTTTTCCCTGTACACTGTGTCTTCATTAACTTTTTCTTTGTTGATTTATAATGCAATAAAACAAAAGCATGAGAATGACACTCAGGACCCACCCCTGCCCTCAGTGAAACCAATACTATACTTTTCAGTTTGAAGTGATTGTTTCTGGTTGTAAAATTCATACACTATCCTGGAAAGTAGTGGGCAAAGAATTCAATTCTGGTATCTCCTACAGAGCTCTGTGTCCTATGTGCTTTGTAAATCTACAAGTTAAAAATGAGGAAGTAGATCTAAGTCTCTTTGTCTGCTCAGCACTTATAAAAACAAACAAGTTACTGCAGCTACTAGCAGGTTGCTGCTAGAGGCAAGGTTATTATTGTTAAGTTTTGCCCCACCCCTCTTTGCACACTCCCCTCCTATAGCCACATGTGTACATCTTGGTTGCTTTCTTGTCCCCTCTATCATACAAACAGTTCTGAGAAACCAAGTTGGGAGAAAGTGACTCTTCACTGAGTGGCAGACAGAATTTTGAGCTTCAGCTGGGATCCAGTATATTTACCAAGAGAAATACATCCTTTCAGCATGGCTCGTGGGTAAGAGAGAACCACTCTGGCCCAACATTCCTCTTTTTAAATGCCAAATAGTGAGTTATGCTTCTCCAGGGCGCTTATATTTAAAGGGGGCATTAACTGGAGTGCAGCATTGCCTTAACATTCTGCTTATTGTTTCTGTTTTATTGTAGTAACTTGCCTCTCTTTCTAGTCTTTCATGAAGACCTCTTGAGTTTTTCCTGAATTATAGGGTTTTACTAGAGTATTTATTGCATTAATAGTTATTATCTTGAAGCTTAATCTCCACTCTAGAGATACAGTTCCATTTACTGGATCTGATTCTTCTCTCAGATGTATCAGAGAGATTGTAAATCAGGCATAACTCCACTGAAGCTAATAGAGTTGTACCTACACTGGAATAAGAGGACAACCAAATCACTAGTTTGTTTATTTTACGAACCATTTCATAAAATTTTAAGGAAAACTTTAAATGCATGTTTAGTCTATAAATACAAGGGTTGCTTAACAACCTGTGCAAATGTTTGTAAAGTATAAACAACGAGAAGATTAGAGGATTTTGACATTGCACTGCTGCTAAAGGTCTCTCTGAAGATAAAATTATATTTTGTTGAATTCATTAGAACTAGCTTTCAGGCTGGTTGTTTCTGTTGGTTACAGCAGTACTTATTTCCTGTTCAGAAACTATTTGGACAAGATGAAAAAAAAGTGGGGGGGGGTGGGGAGGGGGGACTATACAGTTGAATTGAACACAGAAACAAATGGCATATCATGCAAATGTCTTCTTTTAAATTAGCAGCAATGCTAAGATTAGAGTTTTATTTTAAGTGTACAAATGTTAGACCATAGTAAAGTTTCAGTCAAGAAGCTACATGCCACCAGCACTCTTGCTTCTTACAGCAGCAGGATAGCTTTTTTTGCACTGAAACTGAAACATAGCTTTGAAATGACTGAAACCAGCATCACTTTTGAAAAAATCACTTTTAATCCCATGCAAAACATGGCCTGTCTGATCATGCAGAAATTTTTTACATCTTTTTTTTTATATGGAAACACAATGCTAGCAATTAAGGTGATTTCATCAGCAATATGAAAGGAAGAAAAATAGGGAAAG